GTAACGCACCTGTGACGGGGTCGCATTAGTCCATGCCCGATGGACGCCTTGACATCCAAATTTCTTCTTCGACGCGATTGCTCGCGTGTGTCCGCGGCGCCGTAAACCCCTCATTAGAGCAGGAGAGAATCATACGTCGCAACCGATTGCGATATTTAATGCCGCTGCTGTAATCGCTAATCGCTTATCGTCGAACATTAATTCCTGAGTCCGCCGGTGAATCCCAGCAGTAGACCCGGAGGAGGAAACGGTCTTCTCCCGAGTATCGTAACCGAAACAGAAAGAAGCGATAGACGACACTTATGCTGATCAACAATTACGTAATCCGGAATTCTGTTACAAAATGTGAAATTATGTTGATAGGCATGTTTGTGTGATTTGTCAATTGCGTGGCGACATTCTTAGCGACAGAAGAAGGCATAATTTAGATATTGAAAATGAAGAGCCTCGAAAAATTTATTACCTATATAATACCTAATTAAATAGAGATGTCAGAACTAAATCGATGTATTTTGAAAATTAAATGCATAGAATATTAATATATGTAAAAATCATCATTAATAGAATGATGTCACAAATTACAATGATAGATTGCTTCGTACAAGGGGGGGGGGGGGATACACGATATATGAGTTAGCTTAATCAATTTAACATGTAACATAGAATTAATTAATTCAACAGAAAAAAACCACAGCACAAGTTATAGTTTGTGATATTTAATTATTATTATATTAATTAAAACATTAAACGTTTCGGCCACAATCTGGCCATCTTCAGTAATTCAATAATATTCTTAAAAACGCAGAGTTATATCTAGTTGACATTAAATTCAACAGTCGGAAGTTGTAATTAAATAAACATGTTCTTTTCTGTGTGAAGATGCTTCATACAATAATGTTACAACGCCAGTTGTCATATCAAGAAAAGTGTAGAACAAGAATTTCCAGATTCTAATTTAAATAAAATTGTATATATTAATATCTTCTAGTCGTAATATAAAGAAATAGAATCATTACCTGTTTTACAGCAAAAAAACTAAACGATGAATCTCAAGTACTTCTTTTGCACAATTAGAATTTTGTCGTGACATTATGTGTTGTTATTTGTCCTATCATGTATTTTATATCTATTTATATATCACTATTTATATATCTGAGTCAACAGTTTAGAAAGTTCTAGAATTATTTATTAAAGGAAAGAGAGATCCTTCTTTAGAAGAGGAAAATAAACATCAGGCAAACCTTCCTTTGCTTATTGATATCACTTGTTTGTCTTTTTATATGTATCATTTCCGAAATTCTTCTTTTCATTAATTTGTTCTATATCTAAAATTCTTATATTATCCCAATCTAATTCATGCATCTCATTCAAACGGTGACGTGAAACCACTGAAATTTCGGAAGAAAGTTTTTTTATGTCGGCCTTATGTTCTTTAATCCGAGTTTTTATTTTCAACAATAAAAAATAGAATTAAAACATTGGAAAATAGAACTAATTTAGATCAAAATCGCGAAGAATTTAATAATGAATGTGACTCTAACGTTACTTCAAAAAAATTTTTTACGATATCATACTTGGGCAAAGTTTCTGAAAAATTCAAAAAACTTTCACATGTTTATGGTTTTAATATAGCTTATAAACCTATGAATAAAATGAATACATTTATTAAGACAGGAAAGGATTCTTTGCCTAAGGATGACCAATGCGGAGTAGTTCATAAAATTAATTGTTTAAACTGTGAATCGTCTTATGTTGGCCAAACTAAAAGGAAATTAAAAACTCGGATTAAAGGCCGACATAAAAAAAAACCTTTCGAAATTTCAGTGGTTTCACGTCACCATTTCAATGAGATGCATGAATTAGATTGGGATAATATAAGAATTTTAGATATAGAACAATCGTTAAGAAAAGAAGAATTTCGGAAATAATACATATAAAAAGACAAACAAGTGATATCAATAAGCAAAGTGACACGGAAGGTTTGCCTGATGTTTATTTTCCTCTTCTAAAGAAGGATCTCTCTTTCCTTTAATAAATAATTCTTTCTAGAACTTCTTTTCTAAACTGTTGACTCAGATATATAAATAGTGATATATAAATAGATATAAAATACATGATAGGACAAATAACAACACATAATGTCACGACAAAATTCTAATTGTGCAAAAGAAGTACTTGAGATTCATCGTTTAGTTTTTTTGCTGTAAAACAGGTAATGATTCTATTTCTTTATATTATGATTAGAAGATATTAATATATACAATTTTATTTAAATTAAAATCTGGAAATTCTTGTTTTACACTTTTCTTGATATGACAACTGGTGTTGTAACATTATTGTATGAAGCATCTTCACATAGAAAAGAACATGTTTATTTAATTATAACTCACGACTGTTGAATTTAATGTCAACTAGATGTAACTCTGCGTTTTTAAGAATATTATTGACTTACTGAAGATGGCCAGATTGTGGCCGAAACGTTTAATGTTTTAATTAATGTAATAATAATTAAATATCACAAACTATAACTTGTGCTGTGGTTTTTTATGCTCTTATTTTTTATATGTTTTAATATTATAACCACGTTAGTTTTCAAGATATAATTCAACAGAGTTTCAATTTCTCAAGAATTCTGTCTTTTTCTTGTATTCCTGAATCTATTTTTATCAAATGCGATGTATCTTTTGAGCCGTCTTATCAATCATGTCTCAGCAAAACACATTGTAATATACAGTTTGCATAATCACAGTTTCGCATAATAATGACGTGGTTAACAGAAGATGTTGATGTATCATATTGAGTAATTCTAATTCTAGTCATTCTTTTGTAGAAAGTTACTTAAATGTAAATATTTCAAGTATTACACATATTGATATTTTGATATTTTACAAAAAAAAAAACAGGTAAAACTGCCATTAAATATATATTAATATAAATAAATATTAAAAATTTTAAGTAATTTTACTTTTTCTCTTCAACTTCTTCAATTAATAACGTATAAAAATTCTATTATTTCAATATTCCATCTTTACAGAATTAATAAGAATGTAATTAACAGTTATACTTCCGTCGATTGAAACATAATCGGTATGAATATTCCTTGATTGTCTTTGTTTTTATCGGAAATACGATTTTCTTTGTTACATTTACCTTCACGGTCGATTTTCCATCGCCGATTTATTTTCTGTTCTCAGCAAACGAGATCGGATCTACAATCGATATCCAGAATAGCGAAGGATTTCTTACGTAAATTGTTATGCATTTACCTTGAATTAAGTGCTATAATAATCTATTTTTATGCACTTCTTGCAGTTATATGGGGCAATATAAAAAAATTTTTTTTCAATCCAAAATAACTAATTTTAATTAACAAAAATAACTGTTACATTAAATAATTAATATATTGAAATAAAAATATTGAATATTCTGCAATATTATAATTATTAGAGGAAAATTACAATACTGATTAATAAAGTACAATATATAATACAATGGTATTTCTTTAAAGATATCATTGAATATTGTACTTTATTAATACTGATAAGAGCATGATATGTTTAATTAAAGAAATAAAAATTCATAATTCTCATATATATTTGTGATCTTTTTTTTTATAAATATCATTTAAAACCGAATTCTATAAATATGAAAGTAAAATTATTCCAATTTTCTTTCATAAATTGTAGTTTAAATAATAGTAGATATTATTAATAATATTCTATCATTTGTAGTTTCCCAAATCTGTTCTATTTTTATATTTTTTTTCTTTCTTATTTTTCTTGTAATATAAAAAATGAAATCAGAGTGCAGCGTAAAAACCGTTTATAAAACACACACGTTTATAAAACAGATCATAAGCTAATCTTAATATAGTGCTGCGTTATAGAGTTAAATAATTCTATTGGAGCTGAAGGCCTTGTTAAAAAACAAACTGGCATGTTCACTTATATTCATAAATTGTGTTATTTTATTAAACAATGCTGAATATCAAGTTAACGAATATTAACAAAATATTCAAATAACATATATCACATTACGTTACACTAACACTATATTAAAAATTCAATGCAAAAATTTAACAACTATCGATTTTAATACAAACACAAATAAAAGTTTTTTACTATGTATGTCTTGCTAACGGTTTTCTTTTCACGCAAGACATGGATACAACTAATTGCATGAAAATTAAATGTCTCTAACTTTGCGTGTCTTGCATAATCGTGTTTCGTATCGTCATTGACGCGACGTATATGCAAAATCATATGGAGGCCACGAAAATTACTGGACCATACACGCTACATACATTATTGTTAGAAACAAAGAATAATTGTGTATATAAAGGCCGACAACCATAATTATGAGAACATATTCTATATCATAATCCTGAGAACGTAATGAAAACCGATGATAAGTACGAATGTACGTGTCGCGCAGCGTCTGTAATTAGTGAGTCTATTAATTATCAGCTTATCTTTCTTACAGTCAAAGATAGTAACACCGTATATCTGCAACAATCAGATTTTATCACATCTTTCTGCATATGTGTTAGTTTTATAATTTATTTTTAATGAGATACATAATTAATAACAATCAGCAACTAACTAATAATATACGTTTCTTAAAACTTAAAAGGTCGAAGAAGTTTCTCATATGCTGTTCTTAAAATATATAAATATATTATTAACTTTGACATATTCCTTATAAATTTTAAGCTTATACGAATCTTTCGTGCGCACTCAAAATTATATTAGGTGTTGGAATTAATTCGTAGCGTTTTTAATGAAAGAATGTTATTTATTTCACATGAGCATTAAAAAATACATTAATGAAAGTACTTCCCATCACTTGTAAAACGCTACGAATTAATTCCAACACCTAATATATCCAATATTTTCTAATTTTATTATTTCTTAAATTTTCTATTTTACAAGCAGAATGACTCCTAGAAAGATTTTTAAGAAGATAATACTTTGAAAAGTTTTTCATATTACATCGCTCTTTCTTCATATCTTTTACTATAATATGTTGTATGTGTTAATTTTGATTTTATTTTCTTCTGTCAAGTTTAGGATTAATATTTTAGGAAATCAGATTCTCCGAATCTCGAAATTAACCAATTTGATCTGCTTCAATTCCTTCCGTCCCGTTGGCGTTATCTTGTATCGATTCGAACTTGGAGCCGGTGCTACCTCTTCGTCGTGGAGCGTAGTGATTCGTTCGGGAGTTTCATTCTCCATAAGTTCAGCAGTTGCTTCCGTTGTCTCGGCCGATTCACCTGAATCGGCAGGTTTGCCTTTCGGCGGGAGATATTTCTTACCGTGAATGAAAGGCCCGTAAGGATGATGGAATGGAAATCCAACTAGATACGGATCGGCATATATTGGATAGCCAACGTGGCCAACCCCGACAGGACCGCCCTTGAATCCATGGAAGTGGTCGTACGGCAGGAGGGGGAAATCGTGGGGGTGAAAAATCCCCAGTAATGGCTTGACCCAAGGGGGCCCATAAGGAGGCGAGTATCCGTTTTTTGTCGAGTTATTCTGGTCACCATTCTCAGCCGGTTCTTCGGTTTGTCTGTTGTCATTATTATTGTTGTTGCCGTTATTGTTGCCATTATTATTGCCATAACCGTAATCACCGTGATTGCCATAACCACCATAGAAATCGGGTCCGCCGTAAGGCCCGTAACCGTGATGTCCATAGTGTCCGTTTCTAGAAGAAACATTTCCGTTTCTCTGATAGGGTCCATAGAAGTCGTGATGACCGTATCCATCAAAGGGAAATGGAGAGTAGGGATGATGGTGGCCGAAACCGTAACCTCCGTAAGGCGAACCGTAATCTCCGTAATTAGTCCTGTTCTCCAATCGCGCGTTCTCCTCCGTGCCCGCCTCTTCCGAAGATCCATCTCCATATGGATGATGATGATGATGGTGGTGGTGGTGTCCGTATGGTCCAAAACCTCCGTAGAAGCCTCCATAGGGTTTATCCAAGAAAGGTCCATGGGGGAAGGCTGCCTTGGGAAAACCACCGCCGTGATAAGAAGGATATAAATTGGTGGACGATTCCTGAATACGACCGATTGATGAATCGATATTATCGCTAGATTTTGGAGTTGCGTCAAGATTATCATTGTTTGTGGAAAAATCGTGAGGTTTGTAAAAGTTCGATTGTTCTTGGCGTAGGTAGGAACCATCTCGTAGAGATCCATCGAATCGTTCATTCGTTTCGGATCCCTCGAGTTCTTCCGGAGAATCCTCGTAGAGTCCATTGTAAGGATAAGAGCGTGGTCCGTAATAGGTAGCCGCGTTTGATGTTTTTGTATCGACTATATTATTCAAGATTGAATGTGAATTCAAATCGTCATTCAGATTGGCGGATACCGACAGGGTTGATTGGAAGGACGATCGATTATTGCGGGATTGCACGTCGCGCAAAATGACCGGCGACAATACTGAAGCTACATTTTTAGCGAAATTTGCTAGGATATCTGGACCTGTGTAAAGAGAATGATAATTAAAATAAAGAAAGTTCTAAATTTAATAAAAACGCATTGAAATTCTAATTTCTTTCTTTCGTTAAATAATCTTTTATTTATTAATGATCTTTACAAACAACTTAATAAGAAACTTTCCGTAAACTATAACTTATTTATTAATAAATAGCTTTCAGAGAAATATGTTTTTTTACATATCTCTTCGTTTGAATTTTGGTATGTATAACAATAATTGTTTTGCAAATTCAACATTTTTAATTGTCTAAAAATGATAATATTGTTCAAATAAATTGTTAAGTTATTTGCGTACAAATATAGAGTTGATGCTTATTTACATATAAATATCGAGTATCACGTTATGTACTATCATATATTCAACATTTCTTATAAATAATAAGCTGTTTATAATTAATAAACTTTAATTTGTTTTTAATTAATAAATTTAAATAAATTTCGAGAAGAAACATTTCATGCTTACTGACTGCAGTTCTTGCAGCTTTTCCATCATTTATTACGCACCAAAGTGCGATGCAGTACAATAATATCTGTAAGAAAAAAATTTGATATTAGATTAAACGTACAAACTTACACGGAATATAATTGTAACAATAATAAATTAATAAATTTAAATACTAAAAATTGTATTTAAACTTTATTTAATAAATAGTATTATTTATTAAATAGTTTATATTAAATAGTTATTATTAATAACTGTTCAAGGATTTTTATTTTACTTACAATGCATTTGCTAAAATTCATTGTATTTTCAATTTCAATTATTTTATAAATATAATAGCTTTTATCTGCAATGATAAGAAATATTGTACATTGACGCTTGTAATTCATAAGAAAAATTTAATGATAAATGATTACTCCTTGATTATTTTTTTAAAATTTCTAAGATAAAAGTAAGAACAATAATTATATTTTAGATGTAAAAAATTACGAAAATTTACTTGAATACAATTAATGTATAACTAAACGGTCCGCAATGGGCTATATTCAAGCATGAGATAATTTAAGTATAGTGGCGTTTGATATCCGGAATTTCTCGCAAAAAATGTTACGAACTGCGTAACGCACACGTATAGCGTGACTGACTCGATACTTCTCATAGAATTATGTTTTATTTGCTATTGCGTAAAGAGAGACGCATGTGCATGTAAATCCGACGATCAACGCATCGTTCCAGCAGAAAGTTTTGCAAAATCTCGGCAAAAAGAAGCTCTGACGTACATATACACGCACAAATATCAGTCCTGGATGTACTTATTACCGTCTCGTCGTGCGGAACTTGATTCTTATAATAATAGAATCGAATCGGTCTGTGTGCAGTCACATCGATTGCACTTTCACGATGTACACATATTGCTGAAAGACTGTTCAAGTATATGGAACTTTCGGTAAAGTTATTTTCCGACCAGCAGCGACGAACTTTGCAAAATAAATAAAAATTCATGGCACTAGTTTCTGAGAAAGTAATTAATAAATAATAATTTCATTATCTTCACAACAGTCTCTCGACAAGAGAAAGTAACGGAATTAGTAACGGAACTTGTAATAAGAAATTTTCTTCTGATTTATGTAAGACTCGTATGAAGGCATTATTACGTTTGTATGAATGTTTCACCGGCTATTACTTCTTACTCATTATTTTATAAAATACATAGTTATGAAGGAATAATTTGAAGACATATTTTTTAATGTATCGACGTGAATAACACAACTTCCTGCATACTGTGACATTAATATAAAAATGGAAAATTTACATCATTTTAATGTAGGTAACATAGAATGACATGACTTTCGCTGTACACTGCGATAGAATAATAGAAAAATGCGAAGTTTACGTCATAGTACTTTTTTACTAAAAATTGTTATATCTTATTTTATTGTCAGTTTTTTATTTATGAAACCTAATCCATCGAAAGACTCTGGAGTAGAAAGAGAGAGAGAGAGAGAGAGAAATGTAATTTATTAAAAGAAGATGTAATTTCTGTTATATAATAATCGTATATATGTAAGATAAGCAAGAAATGAAATGTCAAAAACTTCACTGCTCAAGAAATATTAATGTACCGTGTATTCAGCGCATCTTAAAAGAAGATTAAATTTCCATTCATGCGTGTACATTTCAAGATTGATTTTCGCGAATAACGTGCTCTACATGTGCTCGTCTGCATTTTTTTCTAACAACATTAGTAAATAATCGCTATTGAGATCTGAGAAAGACTGACATCTCTAATATTTCTGTGTGAAATTGCACATTTCAATAATTTATAATACGTTACAGATGATTATAAGATTTTTGTATGACGTATTTGTGTTTTTTAAACTAAAACGAGAATGCCTTCAAATTGTGAACATAATTTATTGCATGGTGTAAATATCCAAGGTGTGCTTATATTTAAGACTAAATTTCCTACGATGACAATATAAGCGCATAATTAAATAAAAAATAAGTAAATAAAAAAAATAAAAATATGTAAAATAAGTAAAAATCAAATAAATAAGAATAAGATGGTGATATATCTGGCATCAATTTCTCATTGATTATTTACATATGTGCACGCGTAAGAACATACTTGAAATTATCTTACATAATCTACTGCAGCTAACGACAATAATGAAATTGCAATTTTTTCTGACAGTCAACATACGTTTTTTTAAATTCTTACTTATTTCACATGTTTGATCTAAACGTATTTTATACCCCTCCATATTTAACATATGTATCATAAGCTTTATATATTTTTACGTATATAAATATAAACAAACATAATATAAACAAACAGCCATTAATAAAATGTAAGAATTAAATAGATTTGTATTAGGTGTTGGAATTAATTCGTAGCGTTTTACAAGTGATGGGAAGTACTTTCATTAATGTATTTTTTAATGCTCATGTGAAATAAATAACATTCTTTCATTAAAAAACGCTACGAATTAATTCCAACACCTAATACTTTCCTATTACTTTTTTTTAATTAATAAATGTAAGACTTAATAATTAATTAAGTAAACGTTGTAATTAGAATTTTTTTGTAAACTATGATATCGCAAATTTAACAAAATTAGGTTCGATACAAATTCTTATGTAATATAATTTATGTTATGCGTTATAATATAAAGAGCAAATATACCGCAAATATATCGAGAGAATAAAATATTTATAATATCGTCATTAATAAATTCACAAATGATTCACTCCGGTTATTATATCACGCTGAGGATTGCAACAAATTTTCCGCATACTCAATTATTAAAAAAGTGCAAACGACAGATATTTTGATAGATATTTTGCAGTTGACACTTCACACAAATCTGTTCGACACATAGCAAATTTTTATTTTGCAATGATTTATTACGCTACTACGGATCGTTATGAAATTGCAATTTTGTTACTTTTTCCTGTATGACCAATGGCTTTTATGCAAGGATACTCACGTGTGACGCGTAATGCATCGTGCATGCGGCTCTTGACGACTAAGGGACAGACATTGTGACCGATGTCATTTATACTTTCTCTCCTTTAAACGCCTTTTACCCTCGATGCTGAGTGCGAAGGTGTAAAGGGTGGATCGTTAAATTATAGTCTTTATACGTTTCGAACATGCAAATTAAAAGCTCTATCAAATTTATAAGTAAAGGAATATATAATATTAAATTCTGCTTGCAGATTTTGATATTTACAAAATATTCATTAATCGGATTTTTATATTTGATACATAGACGAATATTCAGAGTTCTTTTTGAAGAAGAGTTCTATTATAATAGAATTGATAAACCAAATCATAAAAGAAGATATTTTAAGCTTTACTTTTAGCTTATTTTGAGCTTATATTTTAAGCTTACATAAAGCTTAAAATATCTTCTTTTATGATTTGGAAAAAATATGACATTTTTTAAATCGTAATCTTTAATTTTTTTCTAGAAAAAGATATAAACAAAATATAGTTATGAAAAACGAAATGTATAGTTGTGAATAAAGCTCAAGTTCTTGTCCATTTCCTACATAACATTACTACTAATAGAGAACAGTAATATTAGACAGTTTTACCAATTAACAATAATGGCATACAAATACAAAAAAATGTATAAAATATATAAAATATATAAAATATATTATAAAGTTTCGATCTTTAACTAAAACATATGAGGATATATTTTTAAATAATGTATATTATTATTCATAATTACGAATAATTTACGTGAGGATCGTGCAACTTTAATTTCAGCGTAAATTAACTCGGTGAAAATCACAAATTAATAATGCATTAACCAATTATTTCTACTTTGTATCATAATGGATATCATGCTGCAGGATGTATTATAACTTTATGTGGGTGGCAATATACGTTCTTCGTCGAGAGTTTCATGATGAGGAAAGAGAAGCTCGAGTGACTGATGTAGCATTTGATGATTGATGGAAAGATCGTTTTAACAGGCTGGCAAATTAATAACCGATCTGGCTGATCCTGCCGACGATACCGGGGGCGATGACACCAGGAAGATTATAAATTTGCACAGGTCGAGGGGAAATTCCCACTACTCGAGTCGCTCGGAAATTCGGCGTGATAATTACGGGCCATTGAGTGCTGCTCAGAATGTCAAATTGTCTGGCTTGAGCATTAATCTGTCCATATCCTTGATACTTGGCGAGCATGCCGCTCACGCTTCCGTAAGGAATCCCACCTGTTGAATGAAGCAATTGATATGATCATAAAGCCTATACAACATTTGCAATTAGGCCCTAAAAGATTTATTAAATCTTAATACATATTTCTAGCATTAAATAAACGTTTACTTATAATAAATAAATATTTACTCAATAAAAAAAAATCAAAAATAATTTTTGTATTAAATAAATAAATATTTACATTTAGTAAACATTTATTTAAAACTATTTAAACAAATATTTATTAAAATTCTTTTTTTCAGCTATAATGTCCAATAAGTCAAGTATTTTGTCGAGTGAAAGGAAAGAAGATTAATTTAGTAATCAATAATCACCAGTGCTGCTTTCTGTTGGAGCCTAATCTAAATCGTATTTAAAGATAGAAAATAAAGATATTTTTTTTATAGCAATTTCTATTATTTTAGAGTTTATCGAATGAATAAATTATAGTCTATCATAAAAATTCTTAAAATATTGTAAATATTGAAAGAAAGAATTGGAAAGTTAAAAAACAGAAGTCTGACTTACCGTACGCCAATCCATTCACCATTTCCACTACCCCTGCGCTGTCTGGTGCTGCTGTCGATAATTTTAAAAACGCTACAAGTCCAAATATCAAGGTGACCTAAAAATTACATATCGAGAAGTCACAATAAAATTTGGAGACTTGAATGCATATTTTGTGAGAATATTTTTATGTAGTTGCTCATTAATGCGCTAGAAGACAAAATGTTACATAACGTTCAATATATTTTATAAAATAATATTGCTTCTATTGACAAAAAATGTATTATACGGAATTTTTTATACATTATATATTGACATTAAAATTAATTACGCGCATTCAATTATTATGGCTGCAAATATTATTAACAGTACGTTTATTATTTTAACTGCATATTTTCTCATATAATGAAGTATAATAAATTGATAAGTTCGCCATAAGTGCACATTTTTTCGATTATATAATAATACTCCAACTTAGACAGTTTAAAAACATTATTTAAGCGATTATTCATGAATAAATAAATACAATATTTCCTATGATTATATTATCACTGTCAATAATTTTATCAATTAATAAATAAAATAAGTAAATAAAATATAGGTATATGACCTTGAAATTGATTGCATTAAAACAGACAATCGTGTATAGAAAATGTGTCGTACATGCCAGTTTTTCGTTCGTTTTCATTTGTTGCACAAGTCTGCAGTTCTTAGATATTTATGTCAAGTATTTATTCCTAAATCAAACGATAACAAATAGATTTTACGAAATAAATCGTTTCATAATTATAAATTCATTTTTATTTCTATTAAAATGTTAGTGACAACAATTTTAATTGTGTAAGGTAACCGGATTCTATATGACTTAGTATTGAATATATGACCTATTCAATGTGTGTGTAAATAATTACACGGTGAACTCAATAGCTAACACTAATAAGTCTGCAAGTTGTCCATCTATCTTGATTGTATTAGTTTATTGCTCACATTTTATTATTCTCGATAAAGCAAAATACAGAACGTTATGATTGTAATACTTCGTAGATAAGTAATTGCTTTCTATATATAACTACTTACTAATGTCCGTTTCTACCGATGCAATTCAATTTTAATCTCGGTTTAACTATCTCTTTATCTTTTTCTAGTTCTAAGAATAAAGACAATAAAATAATATCGGTACACCAACCATCTACCAACACTGATTTGTATTCATACAAAAAAAGTCTTGTTCATATTTAAACTATCCACGTATAATAATTTTCTATAAAGTAAAATGTCACATCATATCATATCATATCATATTAATTTAATCTAATGTAATTCAATATAACAGTTCAATATAATAATTATAATAATTCAATGTAACTGCAATGTAAAACATCCTATTAAGCAACTATCTATTTTCTATTTTTTTTTAAATATTCAACTTGTACAGTTTGTTATAAAATATCATTAAATCTAAGTATTATCTTCACATAAAATTATGAAAACTACCTCACATCCCTATAGATGAGACTACCCCCGAGATTACTATAATTAATTTATTCACCTGGGCGTTCACGTACCTTGGCGGGCAGCATGTCGCCGTTTCCAACAGAACACAACACGTACTAAACGCATAGGCAAAACTAGAATACAAAGGCAAAGATCGAATTATATACACGTTGCGTGGCGTGCCGCGTGCGTTAATGTTGGCCAATCGTTAGCGTTTCCTTTCGATTGCGCCCGTTTTATTCTTCTGTCTATAGGACTTTATCGAACTGCGAAGATATCTGTGGGATACGCCTTGGGACACCTTAACCTTGGAGCAGCCACCTCTCACATGTAGCGTACTGACTTCTATCCTGTGTACCAAGGACCATGTTTCTCGTGAGTACCTTCTTATGTATTGTGTGTTGTGCTCGTAGTTTTATCATACTGATGCATGTCCTTGTTGAACGGCGACAAATGACAACGATGTCCTTTTAGATTGAATTAATAAATAGGAAGGACGTAAAAATTACTGATAATAACGTGCTACAAGTATTGTTCGTAAGAATCGTCAACAAAATCTTTCGCCGAAGATCGATAGAAGGTAGTAGAAGGTGGCATAAATTGTTAATATAATATAATGGTAACGAATAAGATAAAAATTGATATTATTTCAAAATTATAAAAATATGCGTATTAATTAAATTAGTTATTTAGACGCACTGTAACTTTGGTATTACTCGTAATTGTTCTAAGTTTCCCATGTTAATGGATCACTGCAGGATAAGAGCATTATAGTAAATAACAATGTTATTATTAATATGTCCCTTATTAAGCTGCACGAAAAGATTATCGCACTTATACAAAAAATAGATCAAGGGTATCCGCTCTTGAAGACAGTTAGCGATATTACGTAACAAGATTAATAATCCAGCAGACTCATGAATCGCAGCGATTGTTATGATGATAAATATTGCCGACAAGTGTTGCAGTTACAAAAGAGAAAGCGGTAAAAAAATATTAATTTAATGAAAATTATGCTTAATCATCCAATAATTATTGTAATTATGAAAGAAGTAATTGATAAAAAGCTCAATTAAAGGAGTCTTTAACGAGGGAAAACTATTTTGTTGAATGAATTCTTAAAGTAGTATCATTAAAAGATTCAATAAAGTAAATATAAAGTAAATTAGCATATCTTTATAATTAAAATTAATATTTTATATATAGATATAAAATTATTATAGAAAAGATTCTTTCTTTCTCTACTTTCTTTCTATTTTGTCTTGTGTAAAATATTGCATATTATGATTAAATTACTTTAACGAAATTTGGCTTTTATTGGTTATTTTTATCTTTGACCTTATAAAAAGCAAATATTGTAACAACGTCGCACTATAATAAGTTCATTTATATCATGTAATATGATTATAAATGATATATTTCTCTGAGAAAGATTTTAACTGAAATCAGCTCATAAATTCGCGAAAGCAGTCGAATTATATTATCGGTAAGACTAAAAAGATAGCGATTATTGCTGACGTATTGTAAATCTGTGAACAAGTAAGAAATTTTAACTTTCAATAAGCCTTCTTTTTGTTGTCACAAACGGAAGATATAATTTCTCTGGTGATTCGCAGCAAGATACAAATAGTAAGTCGCGCAACAGTTGCGCCGATGAAAAGAATGGATATAGTTTCGAGTGGAGGGCGTTATGCAATCCCTCTGTAACGTTTATTTAACAAAAATATCCTAGACTATATACAACAACGTAATTAGAGGTCGGAAAAAACTATTGCAACACCCTCGATTGAATCGCGTCTAATCATCCGTATCTAAATGCGCTTTCTCTGAAACAAAAATTAATTAACTAAAAAATGCTATGATAAACTACTGCAAACATTAAAAATATCGTGAATATTAAAATAAACTGCAAGTGCAAGTGTTTGAAATTATTATCTTTGCGTTCAAATAAAACACAAATGTCATAATAATATCATAAGGATAACATTATAACTTTATTATTTTTTTGTCATTTATAAGTTTATTTTTAGGTGACAAATGATGTTATAATGACATCCTATGATATCATCATGACTTAATTATGACTCTGTGTTTTACCTGGGTATGTTCGCTTTTATGAATGTTTCAAAATGCCTTCTTAAGATTTCTATCTATCTACTACTATCTCAAATTATGACATCAGAAGCGAAAAGACACACAATAAAAATTCTTGCTAATTATATTTGAATAGAAATATTTTTCAATAAAACATTTATTATTTACAATCAATAAAACAGATCTGTAAAATATATCGAAAACTTTTTTCTTGTTTCGGGAAGAAATTAAGTCATATTTATTTCTATATTTCTATTATTAAGAGTTTGTCATAGATAAAAATAACACATTTCATTTTTTATTGTTCACATATCTGAAAATTTCTTTCCAGATATATGATTATTCATTAATTAACGAAACAAAAGGAGAAATTTCGGTATATTTTATAAGTCAGTTCTGTCAATTATAAGTGTTATTGTATTAAAATATATTTCTATATTAATATATAATATTTTGCAAAAATTTTTGTTGTATATTTTCTTATTTTTGACGTCACAATTTGAGATAGTAATTCTGAGTAAAGAGACATAATCAGCAGACATAAATCAATTTTTTGTGTAATATCCTTATGATAACGATTTTCAATTTTTTACGAATAAATTTTATAAATTACATGATATGGAATTTACTTATATATTATTATTAATTACGAAATATAAAAAGAAAGCTAAAATAAATTTAAAAATCCAAAATAAATTTTTTATAATTATCTAAAACGGTTTTAAAATTAATCTCGCATATCAATTTACGTAAAAATAAGAAATGTTTTAATTAAACGTAAAATACGTTGGCTCGAATTATTTACGCTCTACGTAATAATACATCCTGCGTTCCGGATCCTTTATAAACTTGGCTTGTAGTAACGGTTTCTGTTTTTGTCCTTTATCTTCTTTTTCTTCTTTGTCGTCATTTCGAGCTTTCCAGTTTTCAGTTATCCTACTCGATTCACTCTTAGTTTTTTCATTGGCTTGATTTCTTTCGTGATTTGGTTGAATGTTCTGCATTAGATTGTATATTGGGTAGATCTGAAATCACAAACTTTCATGAATAAACCATGAATGAATCATACTGAACGCATAATTATATCAATACATTTTACTATAGTTAATTTTAATTTAAATCATTACGTACTTAATTTATAGGAACATTATAATTTATAATATTACTTCATGCATAAAACATCTTTGGTGAATGATGATTACATTGAACATTTTTACATTACATCAATTATCTGAACAACTTGATTATTATTTAATGTTTTCATTTTAAATTACAATTTCTAAAGGTTTAATATCCTTTACATTGCTATTCCCGTTGAGTTCTTAATTTTGTATTGAAATGTATTATATATAAAAAAAGCAGTTTTGCTGTGAAATATCTAAAATTTAGTTAAATTCAGATCCAAAAATAATTTTGTTGAACTATCAAAATTATGTACTCTTAAAATAATTTTATTTTTCTCACGTTATTAATCTGTATGCTTCTTATAGTATGTTTTGTTCTAATTTCAAATTTCAAATTTGTTTGCTAAATTTATGAGAAAAGCAGGATTTTTTAGTAACACGCATTTAAAAATCCTTTGCTTATTCCTTTCTTTTAGATATAAATGATTCATAGAGAATAACTATTGAATTTAACATCCACTCATTATAAAAGACATAAAGAATTTAATTAAGAAATTATTTTAATTAAGAAATTAAAAATTATTGATAAAATATTATTGAATAAATTGTTGTTAGCAAAATGTAGGAGTTTTTGGAAAGAGATATGTCGGTTATAAAAAATTAGAGCTCGTAAAATAAATTCTGACCTCATTTTCAGAATCAACATATAAAATACATAAAAATCAGCCTAAATTATTTAATTAATAAAATCATTGTCGATAATGTTGCTTTCAAATCTGTATCTATCTAAATGTTTAAATACTTCAGCAAATCATTTTTTCTATTACAAGAATATTTTGCTCGAGTGAACAAAGGAGAAAATGAAATTCATGCCTTAATCGTAATTCTTTGAAATCCAAGACATAGTAGACATTGTGTGTCTCGAACCATATTCGGTCAGCTGAATCGTTCTGTGCTGCGGTGACAAACTTACTTCTGACGTTATTCCAGAGTCACCGTTGTTATTCTCCTCGTTAACAATCCCATCGTAAGTCCCAAAATCATTTATCTTCTTAACTTCCTCCTTCTTCATTCCAAAATGTTTAAAAGCGTTATCTCTACTTTTTTCTTGAGACTTATCTAACATCACTGATTTTTCAGTTTCACCTTCATTAGCAAACTTAACTTTATAATCTTCTTTTTTATCTTCCTTCTTATCTTTCTTATCTTCTTTTATTAATTCTTTTTTATTATCTGAATCTTCATTATTACCATTCTGTTTATTATCATTTTTTTTGCGTTTCGATTTGATTCTCAACCTCACCGGGTTTTTTTGAGCGGACGTTACATTCGTCTTTATAGAATCGAATTCATTCTCTGTTTCTGGATAAGCGGTCTTCGTAACGATCTTTTCCTTTGAACCTCTCGATAGATGCTCGATCGTCCGTATTTTTGGAGTCGAAGTTTCTATCTGAAAATCATCAGTCTTGATTGTTTCTGGCGTAGCAATTATTTTAGCAGCTTCAATTTTTTTAGAAAAATCCGATATATCTATTTTCTTTTTCTTTGAATATTTTCTTTGAACAGGTGTAGGAACTGATTTTTTCGTGGCAAAATTGATACTTGCCGAAGGCGTAGTTGACGTTGTTGTCGAAGCCACAGGTTTCCTGCGCCTTTTATTAATGGATTCAGTAACAGATTCAGCAGGTGTATTATCGAGAGAAATCGTAGAGTTGTTCTTCAATATTCTTCGTCGACGTTTCTTCTGTTGTCCAGTCGTAGAAAGAACTTCCTTCGTTCCATTAGATAATTTACTCGACTGGCTGCTTATTATTTCTGTCGACGATTCTGCCTCATCTGAATTACTTCTGTTTAATTTCAAATATTCCATAGGCTGTTCTTCTTTTTCTTTATTAATAACGTCCTCGCTCCTCAATTTTCTCGAATCAAAGCGCGAATTATTCGAATTATTCTTGCCAACTTGAGAGAGTTTTCTTCTTGCATTCTTTCTTTTCGGCGGCTGCGTAATGTCTTCGGGTACAAGCGTTCCTCTAGAGATCCCTCTATTTGAGGGAGATGGTAATTTCCGCGCAAACGAAGAGGAATTTTCAATCTTTTCCTTCGAAGTTTTTTCTTCAGATTCATCATCTTCCAGAATTTTTTTAATGGATCTGCTGATTTCGCGCGCGCTAGAAAAATTCGACGGTGCATTGGAACTGTATCTGCTGCTATATTTCATAAACGGCATGTGCTCGGTGTTGGATTCTTCGTTGTCGTCTATATATCTGCGCGAGATATCGCGTCTAATATTCATATTGCGATTTTTAGTTGGAACGTTATACTTCTCCCAAGGATAAGTATGTCTTTCCCAAGGAAAAATTGGTCTTTCCAGTCTCGTGGATGCTTCCTCGTCCTCATCATCGAAAAACCGCATCCTGGCTAATTTCTGTTTTTTTTGTTCCCTCGCTAATCTATCTCTCCTTTCCCAAGGATATTCGTATCTGTCAGCATTGTGCAGCCATTTGTATTTTTCTTCTTTAATTTTTTTATCAGAGTGCCAAGGAAACACGTAATCTTCGCTCTCCTCCTCTCTCTCCTCTTCAGGATCGTTTTCCTCGTTTTCTTTGTTAATTTTTGACTTGTACCTCGAAAATGGAAAAGGTTTATAGGTCGTCTTCTCGGAGAATTCATCGTCCTTATTGCTTTTAACTAATGGTTTCTTTGTATATGCAAAGAATGTTTGGTCCTTATTCGAACCTTCCTCTTCCTTTGACGAAAGTTCCTCGTAATCGTCATCTTCTCCGAATAATTCCGTTTTCATCGGTGTTTCGACTTGTTCCTCAATTTTCTCGGAAGACTCATTATCATCATTTGCCACATTTCCAGGATAATCAGTCTCTTCTTCCTGCTTTTCTTCGCTGTCCTCAGATTCATAATTCGTGTTTGCACTATATTTACTTAATGGTGTTGTCGCTTCCTCGGGAAATATTTCCGCGTATTCTGGTGGATCAGACTCCAAGTACTCTCGCAAATCCGAAACTTCTTTTGAACTCTGAGGATCCGTCGTGGTCGTGGAAATATCCTCATCGACATTCTCGCGAACTTGATATGTGTTAGTCGTACTTTCCTCCTTGTCTTCCCTGAAGAAACTTTCTTCAGATTCCGTGTTGATGTTCTTAACCTTTCCTGATTCTGGATATTCATCTTTCTTACGATAAATTTTTTGTTGCATAGCGGATTCTTCTGCGTAATAAGCTTCGGTTGTGCTACTTTCTCTATCTTCTATTAATGATGTTGCACTTTCGATCCTTGAAGTGTTCTCTGTTGAATTGATTATCGCATAATTGTTCTGTTGATCACTAAATGGCTTCTTCTTCCTTTCGACACGTTTATACCGAGGCTCCTTTCGCCTGCCATCTTCATCCACTATCTTCGAGCTCGTGGTAAACTTTCCGAATCCTCTCGTGTCCCACTTGGGCTTCGAAAACCTAATCCGATCTTTGATCGTGTAAACGGTTTTCTGAGGTTCGCTTCTAAGGTCACTGCTCGTGGAATTTCTTCGTTTTTTCTTATCATCAATCTTCAGAGTTGTAAACAAACTTTGATCCAGCGTGCTAATTGGCCTACTCTCCTCAATCTTCAAGTCCAATGGTACGGATGTCGCATTTGTTTTGCTTATCGTTTCTTCTATCAATTTTACAGATGTATTATTTCCAACATCATCGACTTCTATAGATCCATTAACTATAGTATTTTTATTCTTGTTAATGACATTGTTAGAGAAATTCTTCGCATTTACTGTAATCTTTTTATTCTCATTAATTGTACTTTCAGAGAAATTCTTCGCAGTATTGTTTGTATCGTTTGTCGTGCTGCGCTTATTTATCTTGATGGTACGATGAGTGATGAAGGGAGGTCGAGAAAGAGTCGTAGTTCTTATTAAAGATATTCTGTTTTTAGCCAGAGGTCTGTACTTTCTATAATTTTGTCGTTGGAGGTACTTCGGAGGAGGTATCAGTCCTTTAATCTCCGGTGATTTAATGTCATTTATAACGTCAATGACGTCAGAAACGTCCGGCTTCGACGTACTTTTTTCCTTTGAAGATTTCGATATATTGTCCGCTACTTTCAACATATTTTCGCTGCCTGCAGTCTCTAGGATCTGCGCAGACGGCGGCAAGGTCGTCATCTCATAGACTTGATAAGCGTTCTTTGAATTCCTGATGTTGCCCATTACATCTTCATACACCTGATTTTGATAGGAAACGGTTTGATACAACGTTGACGATGGCGTAGTGGTGGAGATCTTTGGTCGAGGTTTCCGATTTTTCGTTCTACGCATCGTACTGGATGGCGGCCTCATGCCACGTACGGTGTGGAAATACGCGTTCCTTCCTCTTCCGGTTTGCGGATCGTGCTTGTAATTCACGCGGATTGATTCAAGGGCCTCATAGGGACGGTTTCTGTTTCGCCACTGGCGACCGCTGCGTTCCGGCTTCTTCGAAACTTGAGGCACAATGTAGTCATCGTTCTGCTCGGGAAGTATCATGATCTTCGAGGCGAACTTTGTAGGATTTAATTCCGATGGCGGAGTCGGCTCTTCAATCAATTTCTCGGCGAACAATGGATTATCGAGGGGATTCTCGTCAAAATATTTGGCCTTAAAGCAATCCAATTTGTTTCCGAGACCACGAAGACGCGGTAGATCTTCCTGCGGACCTCGTTTAGGATCGGGCTCCTCTTTCTCGGGTAACACTTTTTCAAGATTAGGCTCCACCTCGTCGCACTGTTTATAAGCGTTTCGAGAATTGTAGAACTCCATGCCGCGCGAGGTCTTCCGTGGTATTGTCCTGGGATCAACGGCGTACTTTAACGCGGACGCGCTGGGTACATTTTCATTGTTATAAAATGGATATTTTTTCAAATCTGTGACAGCTTCCGTCGTCATAGAAGGTTTTACAAGATCGTCTTCTGCGAATTCTCCGCCGTAAGGGACGCTGGGAACTTCAATTTCAATTTTCCCATTTTTTTTCGATGAAGTCTCGTTACTCTTCTCATTAAAACGAGCGGCGATCTCTTTATTGATAACGTCGCCACTAATTTTAGGTGACTCGTTCAACAATTGTTCAAAATCTTTTTCGTTTGCTTCGTTCTTCAAGTTTCTTGTCACATACGTTTTATTTCCAACACCTGTGCTCTTCTTTGCCAATTCTACAACATCCGTATCATTCATTCGTTCATTTTGCTTTGCCGATTGGATTAAAATTGGTTGAGAGACAATATTATTTTTGTTGCTGGATGTTCCGCTCTGGTCTCCTCTTAATCTCGCAAAGAATGTTAATTTCATAGCGTCTGGAACAGTGATCGGTGCATGAATTGCTTTCCGACTCGACTTTCCTTTTAATCTATCGATTACCCTATCAAATGAACTTTTATCTTGTTTTGACGATTTATTATTATAGTCATTGGTCACACCATTATTTGCTGTTGCTTTCACATTAACGTCCGCGCCGTCGCGAAATTCACCTTCGTTGGATCTTTTTCTTCGCGATCGCGTTCTCCAGCTTGTTTCGGAACTCAAAGGGAAAAATTTAAATGCGTTATCATGCTGTTGTGGTTTGCTGCTGGGATAAAAATGATAGTTGTCGTTCTGCTTATTGCTACGGTAATTGGCGTAAGCATTTGTGAACGGCAGCGGTGGCGGTGGCAATAATTTTGTGGTCGGAAGTAAATTTGTGCGATAGATTGAAGGCACCAATTGAATGTGATCGAAGGGATCGAAACGGAACGGTAATTTGATCGGTTGAGAACGCTGTTGATTTTTCAATTTCTTCCAGTTAGCCTCCCGAGACGATTCACTTTCAATAGAGACGCTCGAACGATTTGCTGTTAAAGGATGATCCGTCAAAAAGATTGAATATGCTGCTCGTTGAATTGGCGGTCTCCTCGGGGTGGGATCTTTTAGAAAGACAACCTTCTTCTCCTTTGGAAAAAATTGCGTTTCTTGCTTGTTTTTAATGTAACTCAGCGTCTTGTTGTACTTCGCGTTCAATTCATCACGAATCCTCTTGTATTCGTTTCCTTCTTTGAAAGATGATGGAATTTGTTGATGGGATGACTGACTGAATTTAACGGGGGATGATGTCGGAACTTGTTGTTTGGACGATTGAGTGACTGATTTAACGGGTTTCTTTTCATGAGATGGTTTTGCTCTCGCCAAGACCTTATATTTGAGCTTTCTAGTAACAGCGATGTTGCTGTTGTCGAGAACAGGACCGAGGAAAGGATTTTCGTGGTAATCAGCTATTCGCGCGATAGCTTCTTGGGTGAAATTGAGTGTCATGACAGCCGGGGTGCTACTGGACACTGTAGTGTCAAAAAGAGTCGAAGATGAATATTCTACATCTTTAGGACTTAATGATGGCAAAGGTTGCATATTGGTGAACGTCTCAATTGTGGACGTGGTTATCACGTTGTTGATGTAATCAGTATCGTCTCTTTGTTCGAGCAGATGACGGCCGTGTGTTTGAACGGAAGGCTGATCGAATCCCACATGATCGGAGAACAAATCTCGCTGACGAAAGCTATTCGAAAATTCTTCTTCGAGGAATGTCGAAGGCGACGTCACAGTTTCCTCTTTTGTCACTAGAAGGTACGGACCGTGACCGTCAATGGTCGCAATCGCGATCGGCGTTCGCGTTTCATCCTGCGGATTCATAGTTGTCAAATTCGGCACGAGTGTAGACGACTCGATGATCGATGGATCTTGCTTCGCCTTGAAGTAATCCCAGAAAAGCTGACTATAATCGACCGTCGTAGGCTCGTCGATTTGTTGGAACAAATCTGTTGTGATCGGGGCGACATAGCGCAAAGTCGTCTGATCAATAGAGAGAGATATCTGCGAGTTCGGAGAATTTTTCACAAAACCACGAGGAATCGCCAACGTTTCAACATCAGTTAAACTTGCTTCTTTCAATGAAAGCGCAGTTGTCTCGTAATTCTCAGAAAGCTCCTTCTCTTGTTTTAATTTGAGTGATTGTTTTGTCCCTTTATTTACATTATTGTCATTTCGCAATTTGAATTTTTTCTTCTTCTTTTTCGCCTTGATAGACTTATTTTCATATTTTACATTATCTTCAACGTAATCTTCATCATTCTTCAATTCCGAACTGTCAACTTTGTCATGGCGAAGTTTCGATTCTTGTGCATTTTGATATACCTTCGAACTCCTCTCGGCCTCTTCAGCATCCTTCTCTATATCTTCTTCCAGTTTCTGGATATTTTTAGCAATAAATTTGGGATCTATTTCAGTTTCTTCCCAGCTGTTTCTATCGTATCCTATCAGATTATCTTCATCATCCTCCTCCTCGAACTTTCTATTTTCTTGCAAATGATCTTGATAGTCTTCCTCATACTCTTTGAATTCATCCGGCACCAAGTTCTTGTTTTTCTCTTTCTTCTTTTTATCGCTTAAAGAATTTTGTTTGCTTTTCTTACGATCGTGAAGTTTGCGCGCAAATCCTTCGTGAAAATCAGCATCTCTGATGTGTCCTCCATGATCGTAAGCTGAATCCTCGTATCCCTCCTCAGTGTACACCGTGTTAACCTTCGTGTTCGTGACAACTTCCCTCAATCTGGCTGCATTACGCTTCTCTTCATCGGTCTCCGCGCTTTCGACCGCCTGCTGCTGTGGTAATCTTTTCACAGTGTGACTGCCTCGAACCTGAGCATGCAATCTCGTCGGCACGAAGTCCAAGGTAATGTTTTTTTCAGGTGACGGCTTCGCCCAGATTCCAGGAGCCACGTATTTTGGTTTAGTAGGCACATCTCTGGCTTTTTCGTGTTCCGAATATGGTATCGGATAATCTGAAGGCTCTTCTGGGTCATCATCTTTTCTGGTATACTCGTTATGTTGATAAAATGGCGATGTATATCGATTCAGAACGTTCTTTGTTTCCGAAGAATCAAGTATTTCTTCCGGTTCTACACTCGTTGAAGTTGGCAAATAGGTTGTGAAATCTTGATAGATTGTTGTCGTGGTGTTCAAGGGCTGCAACCAAGTGTGATTGGTAACTTTATCACCATTAGTGGAGTCAATATTGGTCTTAATGGTGTTAATATTCTGACTCGATGATGACACATGATGAATGCTGGCGATCGTCAGAACAAAAATGATAACTAGATTATAGGTTTCTCGTTGCTGCTCCATTTCTCTGAATTGTTCTTCGCTTCATAGCACTATCAAGATGAAAAAATATTGTTAGACATGTGACTAACAATAACTATTAAAGTATAAAAAAAAGTTTTTAGTACACACATCTTCACAATTATTATGTTAAATAGAACTGAAATGTAACATTAATGTTTAAATGTTAGAAATACGTACAAAAAGAATGATTTTGCTGAAATATTTAAAAATTTTAATAAATACAGATTTAAAAATGATTTTATTGAAGCATCAAAATAAATATATAAAAAATTCAAGCATGATCATCAGATCTGTATTTATAACTAAATTTTTAGATATTTCAGCAAGATCATTCTTTTGTGATCTCTCTTTTCGTGTATATTATTTATTGTAATATATGAGAGGAGATGAATATTATTTTAATCACAAACTGTATCAGTTTAAGATCATGTAGAACGGCACCAAATATCGAATTCGTTTTTCGACAACGAATTGCGATTCAAACTCTTCACAGCAGTAGAAGAACACTACGTTACTTGGTTTTCAAAGAACGCGGATTCTACGCGGACAACAGGTGATGCTTATCAATTTATGTTCGTCGCGGCAAAGGAGAGAAAATCGCGATTTACGTGCGAACCGTCGGCGTGATTTCTAATCATCTTCGATCGAGGTCTAACGTCGAACTGGCCGGCAGCACGGGCCGCATGGCCTAATTTATATTTTCCAGTCATCTGAAAGGAGAGGTAGGGTGAAAAACGTTAGAACGATTAGATACCCTGCTTCGCGAAGCGTGCAGATCCGATCGTTCAACGATTCTGTTACTCTCGATTGGATTCGTTCGTCAAGCCGTTTCACCCAAACGCCTCTCTTCTCCGGTTCACGTATTAGAAACTCCGTATAGCTTCATGGTACCCCAATTACAATGCACTCGTACTCTTCATTTTACGGCGCGATTACGAGCGTCTCGTAAAAGATGCTCGAGAGGAGGAATGTGTCGTTAATTGAGCCAATCGCTATCGACACGAAGTAAAAGAACAAGATGCACGACGAGGCGCGAGGATGCACCATGAAAATGTCCATCAGAACGGGCATAGAGCATTGTGTGATTTACTTCGTTCAGTCAACTGTGAACAGTTCGTTTCACCGGTTGCGTTCTCCACTCGTGGCGATTGTCTCTTTCCGCGTTGGGCCGCGAAGCGTATCGCTCGAGCTACGGGACTTTCTTCGCTTTGACGAGTCCGCGAGAAAATTATCATAGAATGTAATTTCCATTTCCAGAGCAGTCACAAGCGTGCTTAAATAGATAAGTGCAAGGGTGTGTCTAGTGAGCGTGTAATGCGTGCTTTAGCACGCAGATGGCTAAAGTAACAACTTTGACTGAACTGATGCTTCTCGTATTTAAATGATGCTCTCATATAAAGTCTTGTTTCTAACCAGATTATTGCATATATTTAGATATTTTATTGTTAAAAGCGAATTTTTTCATTTCTAATCATAAGCATCGTTCGAATAATTTTGTTACACAAACCGAGTCGATTGTAGCAAACGATACTCATCACCAATCTTTTCACGAACATGAGAATGTGATTTTACACACGTTGCTATATCATAAAAACAAAGCGAACGTTTAACACATTTAACTATACAGTAAGACTGTTTTAGTATAAAGTACTACTTTCTCGATATTTACAGTATAATATATGTTCCGTAATATGTCATATTATATTGTTCCTTTTGTTAAAGAGACTTTTTAAATAATAAGCGCGTTTTATTATCATTTCTAATGACCGATTAAACAATTGCAATTTCAATCAATCCTCTAACTTAAATTAAAAAATTAAAAATATAAAACAGAAATCATTTTGCAATCCTTTTAGTATAAAATTTCATTATAAATCTCAATGTTTTGTCTAAGAAATTGATATTCAGTCGCTTGCTAATGTTATTCTTTTGTCAATTGCAATTAAAACAACTGATAAATTTGTATTCTAAGTTGTAAAGCAGATTAAATATTTAAAATTTAAAAATGTTATAAATTTATTTAGAACATAAAAGATTTATATAATCTTAGATAAATTTCTTTGAATTCTAAAAAGGATTAATATCCAATTCTTCACATCCAGATAAATTGCAAATAACTTTACCCAGGAGATATCTTCATTGTAATCTGGAAAATATCTCCTGGATAAATTGTCTAGAGGTGAAGAAATTGGGCATAACAGAAATCAAACCATGACAACAATAAAACAGAGACTTAATTCTTTCCTGTTTCTACTTTGCTAGTAAACAAATCTTGTAGAAAAGTTTTTACAAAACATATAACTACGAGAAATTTAGCTTTCTCCATTTCTATAAAGATGCGATTGGGTTACATTAAAATCTCTTTTAGATTTGGCATAAAATAAAAATTTTTCAATATATATCCGCGATTAATTACTGTAAAAAACTGAATTAATTCAATTATCCTGGCATATGATTCGCTTTGACCAAAAATAGAATTATTTCTCTTAATTAATTTATTCTCGTTGATCTAATTTTGAATTACAATTAAATCAGCTCAAACAACTATAAATAGGTGTTAAGATTAAAAAAGAATGATCTAAGAATACTTTATTGGTGATACAAAACACGATCATATCATAAACTCCTTAAATATAATTTATAAATAATTCTTTCTATTTATAATAATTATAAATAGAAAGAGGTAACAATTAATAAATATTAGATCGAGACGAACGTATTCGAAAGTCCGAAAAAAGTGAAACAATCATTGCATCTACCCATTTTGGCCATAATACAACATCTACATATTTTGATGTCTTTTCACTAATAATACGAAGAATCTCAAGCAATATTCAAATAAAAAATTTACTCATCACTTACTATATCTTTGCATGACCTAATTAGGCAATAAAAGAAAACTAATTAGATAAAGTATCTATTTAAAATTATATAATAATACAAAAAGCCTTGTAAGATGTTAAATCAAACGTTAAATTAAATGTAGGCTAGTCTTCACTTACAATTTTAATTAAATTTTGGATTCTTTCTTCTTCTGTTTGAATCCAACATAAAAAAGTCTTAGAGACACATAAACAATGAACATGTTACTGCACAGGACACTGTATTTTTTTCTAGGAAATATTACTCTCTCACGATCGTAGATATCAATGTAAGAAACGCGAATTTCGCGAAATACGTGATTTGGAATCTTCATTAAAATAGGATGTCAGGTACTCCGAAGGAAGAACACTAGGATTTAAGATATCATTGGCTTCCATGCGTTGTTGTCACTTTGGACCGGTACTGGCTGAGTGGCGAATTGCGGTTCTGCGGATTTCAACATGGAAGCCTCCGGTTTAAAAAAGTCTATGATTGGGTGATAGTTATAATTGATTCTCCTTTGGGGTTCCTGGTACTCGTCGTCAAAGCCTCCGTTCTGCAGTCTCGACGTGGCATCCACGTCCTGATCGTACGGCTGACTATATCTGAAAAATGATTCCTAATAGCTTCAATGATTTCTACTAAATTTCAATTGCAACATTAATTAATAGAAGTCATAATCTGGATTATTTTCCTATCAAATCTAGATATTATAATCTTACAAACATTATTTCTCCTACAAAAATATTTTATAAAATTTAAAAAATATTAAACTGGTAAGGTAACAGTGTTGCACGTTACTCACCGGCTGGTCGTATTACGGGAAGTCTCCATGTAATCTTCGTGAACGGTGGATTCTCGTCTGTAAGGTGGCCTGTTGAGTCGGTTAGGCCTGCTGCTCTTGGTCAATGGTCCTTTGTAACCCGGTGCTCGCGTGTTGGGCGCATGTTGTTGCGGCAATTTGTCGTACGGTCGCGGGATCGGTGAGGGCTTCTTCGGTCTAGTTCTGCTACCAGGCAGAGTAAAGCTGGGTCTACTCGTCGGATTAACTTCCAATACCGGTTTCTTGTTGCTGGACACTGAAGAAAACGAAACATATTCGCTAAGGTCATTTAATGTAGGCGATGGCGAATGATTCTGAGGTAAAATACCGTGGCTGGAGTCGAAGTTTATGCTGGGAGTGTACTTGGTAATATGATTGAGAACGACAGGCTTGTTAAGATCCTGAAAATCGTCCTTCTGATCGATCGTCGCGAAATCGGCGCCCGGAAACGATTCTTTGGGTTTCGTCGGGGGATCCTTTTGATGTGGCGGGAAGATCTCGGCGTAGCCGTGTACGTGACAGCTGCAACAGGTCGGCACTTTGAATATGTCCATGTGAAGTCCCAGTTTCTGGTCCCAGGTCAGCAATCTGTGATAGTTATAGATTTGCACGCAGGAGGAACGATAGTTTTCTGAGATGAATGAGCAACTTGACTGTGGATTACTGTAAAAAAACATTAAATATTATTAAATATCGTTAAAAAATAAAAAAACACATTAAAAATAATATAATTATATACTAATTATTAGAAAATCAAATTTAAATTATTTCTTTGAATTAAATAGCGTTTTATTTTTAATTTCCATGTATGTCAAAATGTATTATTTTGATACATTTTAAATTATATAATTAAAAAAATAATCACATTTAATTAATCCACACACATTTTTGTAGTTAAATTACTTAGTTTTAAAGTAAACTACGTCCAAATTATTATAGGCACTTGTAAATAATGAACTAATTTTTAATGTTAAATATAATACATTTCTTGAGTAAAGTGTTTAACTCCATTGTTTTAGTTAAATTAATGAGATCTTGGCGATCTGTAAGAATGATTAAGAATGACTTAAATTAAATATAATTTGACACTACAAATTTATGCAATATATGCATAACTTTTTTCAGTAATATATCGTCATAAGAAGAAATCATATATATTAACTTTAACGTTAATTATAACAGGTAAATATTTCGTAATTTAATATTCTGAACCTTTTATTTAGTCGCTTTAAATGTAATATTACATAAATTTATAAAATTAATGTCCAAATAAATTACTCTCTTTTCAAATAAAATATATAATATATTGGTTGCCATACTTACGAACATTTCTCCAGTCGTATCGTCTGGGTGTGTTCACCTGTATTTATTATATACTTCCATACTCCGGAAGCAGCTCTTGCTAATTGTGGGCGAGCATATTTGACAGCTGATGGACAAGTAAAACCCTCCTCTACGTTATCGAAGGGATTGTCAGATCGTCTGAAAGCAAAAAAATATAATAAGTAATAAAAGTGATTTTCTTTAAATTGTAAAAATTCTAATTTTTAGTTATTTAATTTTTTATCTTAACTTTTTGCCATATTTATAATTTATTTTAATCAAATTTGTTGAAGTATATAAAACGTGCAAGAAAATAATTTTTAGATATTTCTATTATATATATATATATATTAATTAAATTTAATTATTAAATATATATATTAATTAAAGCCAATAGAAATTTAAAATTAAATTAATATTCTAAAATAAAAACTTGGTAATTTTTAAGAGATAAAT